GAAAAAACAGAAATTTGGCCAAATTCCCACAGATGGGATAAATGTCAGAGCTGAGATTTGAACCCAGACAGACTGTCTCCACAGTCTGGCCCTTAGCCACTGTACTGTCCTATGTCTCTTATCTGTGTTCTCAATAAAACAGGGTAGGCTGAGTGCTGAGAGTGATAAGGGCTGAGAGCATATTTGAGATTTGTGCGTAGAAAAGGTTAAAAAATTACCATGAAGAATGTGGGAGTTAACAACCAAATTTTTATTCAAGGTTCTTCAAAGTGGTAGAGGCCTAACAGAGGCAGTTTCTCCATTCTATCATTGTTGCATTCTAGCCCTTACTATTGTTCTGTTCCTACAGGTCTGTAGTGGGAGTTTTCTTATGTGGCCCTCAGACTTTGGCAAAGAGCCTGCGCAAATGCTGTCACCGATATTCCAGTCTAGATCCTAGGAAGGTTCAATTCTACTTCAACAAAGAAAATTTTTGAATTATAGGTATAAGGATGGTAATCTGCCTTGTCTCTCCTTTGTATCTTCAATAACTTGGTCTGGTCAGGTTTGAGCAGTCACTTTAAGAATGTGCCTCTCAAGCCTTGACTCCCTGGCATTCTTTTTTTTGACTGCATTCAACTTTGTTACTTAAGCTTCAGCAACTTAAAAACTTCTGAAGTTCTTAAAGCCCATGGATCCTTTCTTGGGAAAATAGCTGTACTTCTGGACAGCCATGACTGTAACAAGGCTTGATAGCAGAGCTTTGGTGGTTGAGAGTTATACAATCAATCCCAGGCAATTTTATCAATTCCAAACGTTACTATCTCCTGAATTTTGGTTTGTAATCTCTTGCCCCTCCCACCCCCACAGAAGATTTCTAAGTAGGGTGACTTTTTAAATAAAAATTTATTGAATAATTAATGATAAAACATAACAATAAACATAAATAATAAACAAAATTACCAAGAACCCCTTCCCCATATAACACCAACAGTGTACATTTTTACTGTTACTTTCGATATGGTATTATCCAGTGTGAACAGCAATTTATTCTTATTTTTGCTTGTCAAAAAATAAAGGATTTTCTTCTTTGCTTGATGAATGAGTCTTTTGTTACTTATTTTTGGGTTCTCCATTTGGAAAAGAAAATCTAGAAAGTATGCTATTGTAATTGAAATTGTATTATAATTGCAAGTCAGTTATATTATCATATTGTATTATTCTGTTAAAAGCAATTGTGAAAACTTGAACTCCATGTTAGGATGACTTATTTAGTCAAGAGGAGCTCTTTATCACTGTTTTTATTGAGGGAGTTTATTAATGTCTACTTTAAAAAATAACAATTTATAATTTTAATAGATTTTTGTGGACTCCTACCTATTCGCTAAGGAATCATTCAGCTATGACATAATCAAAATGCCTTCTTTCTCTATCAGAATGCTTTTTATTTCTCCCATCTACCCAACCTTGGCCTACAGGGACCACACTGGCTCTGGGAAGTTAGTCGTCACAGTGAATCACTAGGAGAGAAGCTCAGGGCTCTTAAGAGAGAAACCTCACACTTCATTGTGCCCAGACAATTCAACTCATTATAGATTTATGAGAATGGTTCCACTGAATTAGCATTGTATTATCTATTTTTTTCTACCATTAAGTGACCAAGATTGAACAAATGGTTGTTTCTAATATTTTAGGAACCTCTATTGCTTGAGGGATAAAACTTTTTTTTTTTTTTGTCACTAGTCTGAGCACAATAAAGGTAGGTGATGAACTCATGGTAGCTGATTGTGTTTCATCTATTACAACAGTAAAAATATACTTATGGGTGTTTATGTAGGGAGGGATACCTCTGCTGTTGCCAATTTGTTTGCCCAGATTTCAGCTATTTAATTCAGGTTTACTAACGCATTAGGAAAATGATAATTTTCCAAATGATAATTTCATCTTCAATGACCTTGATTTGGAATCTTAGTGTTCCTTGAAACTTGTAACAAGTTCCTAACGAGAAAGGTGTCACTCTTGGCCTCCATGTCTAAATATATTGACACACTCACTTCAAGATACAACTACTGCCAAAATCAACATTCTAAGTCTTGAATATTTATGGAAGTAGGCATAAATTCATGATTTATTATATTCATGATAATGAAAATAATAAATCCTATGCATAACCAACATCCAAGTTGAACTGGGGATGAGCAGGATACACAGGAAGCTCCTCATCTGCTTTGAGCAAGTTTTTCTTGCGATGTTGTAATATGAAATACCTTAATCAGGAAATTTCTTATAAATGTTTATATATCAGAGTACAAAATCCCTCAATTTCATTGTCACTCATAAAGTTGATTATCTTTGCATTATTTTGCTAGACATGTAAGCAATATGCTATTACATTCTCTAAGCCTATGCCAGGCTTTTAATTCACCTGACCATAATCCTAGCCCAGGGGATAGGATTCCAAGAATGTAAATTGGATCAAAAGTAGTTCCAGTAGAACTTTACTGATTATTAAGGCAACTCTTAACCTCTTGAGGTTGGCCTGATGGAGAGAAACCAAGTTCCTCCTTAATGCCACTAGGAGAGAGAGTGTATGAGTGAAAGAGAGAGAAAGAGAGGAGAAAGAGAGAGAGAGAGACAGAGAGAGAGAGAGAGAGAGAGAGAGAGAGAGAGAGAATGAATATTAGGCAAGAAGACCCATAGGTTAGAGCGAATGGCATTAATTATGTTCACACCTATCTGCAAGGAAGCAAGCAGGAGCAGACCTAATCGGCAATCTGACTGTGCTCTACATTTGGTCTACTTAAAATAACTGAGAGGAATGTAAAAGTTTTAGGGTTTTCTATGTTTTAAGTTCCCAGAGTAAATTTAGTTACAGGGTAGGGCTGCAGGTTAGGGATTGCCTGGAAGGTAGGATGAAATGTATTTTGTTCATTTGATTTGTTTTTATTTCATCTTGAACATGTGAAAACTCAGTGGCTTTTTAAACTTTCAAAGTTGACTGCCTAGACTGATAAGTTTAAGAACACACAAGTAAATGTCAACAGTCTCTTGTGTTGCTGACACACTCAAACCAGTGCTAAAACAATTTTTGTCTTAACTGTGAATTATACATGTTCACACCTGCTATTGAAACAAATGCATTTTGATATTTGGATTTTTCTAAACTAAAGACATGGCTGTACTAAGTTCTGTGTTCTGTTAGCCTTCTGACCATTTTATAGCTCTAAGCACGTGCTATTTTCTCCCAAAGACTCAGAAGACCTAGAAAGTTTTCAGAGGGCAAAGCCTTATAATAATTCTTACTGGAAGCAAACTAAACAAAAACCAAGTTCCAGAAAACAGTGCTTCTGAGAAATTCTCAAAAATCATTAAGAAAAATAAATGGTTAACTTAAAGTAAAAACAAAACTATGGCAATATGTTAAAGTACAATACTGCAGTAAGGGGAGAAAACACATCTAAGGTTTCACCCTTAGTGTTCAGCTTTTTAAAAGCAAAAAGGTCATGTATATCAATTTGCAGTGTACTAAAATTGTGTTTAAAGTTTATTTCAAGTCACAGAAAATATACAAACTAAGACAATAAAATGAATTGCTTTTGTTCTGAGAGAAGGTGATGGGAGTCCTCCACCTGGCACTGATTTGAGTCATTCAAGGGTTAGGATGCAGGTCATCTTTTTCAATATTTCAACAAAATTATAGAATTAATTTCCAGATTTCTTGCCAGGTATTTTTGAAAACCTGTAGGAAAAAGTTAGGAGAAAGCCATTAGAAGTGAAGAACAAGCTCTCTTCAGGAAAAACATCAGGAAAAAAAAAAAAGGCTGGGGAGGGAGGACAAGCATACAATCAAATCACCAGATTTCCAAGGTGTCTGTCTCCTGAGTCCTGCTTGCAGCAGGGTTTCTCAAACTCAGCACTATTGACATTTTGGGCTGGAGCACTAGTTGCTATTGGGAAGTTGGTGACAGGGACCATCCTGTGCATTATGGGATGTTTCAGTTGCCTCTACCCACTGAATGCCAGTAGCATGCCATACTCCTTAAAAGTGTGATGACCAAAAATGTCTCGGGACATTGCCTAATGTCCCCTAGGGAATAAAACTGCCCCTGTTTGAGAACCATTCATCTCTAATGATAATAGTATAGAAGCCTGTCAGTGATGGCAGAGATGAATCACAACTAGCTAGGATAGGATGGAGGGAAAGCCAACACGTCAGCCATAGTACGCACAAACACCAGTAGACACACAGTAAAATCTTGCCAACATGAAAGTGCATAAAACCACACATACATACATACAAACTATGGTAGGTTTTTAAAAATGGTGAAAACTGAGTTTGTAGTCAAGTTAACAATAATGTGCCAATGTCAATGTCTTGGCTTTGTACTACACTGGGTGAAGGGTACATGAGACTCCTTGTACTATTTTTCCAACTTTCCTTGAGTCTATAATTATTTAAAAATAAAAGGTAAAAAAATAGACAAAAACCTTGCCCTATGGTTAATATGCAAGGCCCTAAATTAAACATCTTATAAGCAAGAATATATATATAATGAAAGAACGTTCAGAAACATTTCTACCTCCACTATCCAGAAACAGTAAACAGTAATTTTCTCATGCTGTAGGAAATGCCTTCTCTCGCATAAGTAAGTTAGTAAAAGAGAAATATTTTTTATCTATTCCTCTGAATATAATAGGTAGTCTATACTTTTACTAAAAAAAATAGAATATGCGGGGTTTGTGGAATAAAACATTAAGGTACCAAAAGTCTACAGAGCCCTCCATCTATGATAGCTTCTCATTAATTCATTTAAAGTCTAAATACACATATGATGTATAGCTGCAGTTAAAGATATTACAAATATGGATTAAAATGATTTATTAAGAGTGGTAATTATTAATAGTATGAGTTCACTATTATATAACATAAGAATAGGAATTATAATATGGATGGGGTAAAAAGTAGAAATTTAAATTGTGATGTCCTACCTGATAGTGGGACGATGTGAATTTTAAAATGCTTTTACAAAAAAGAATTGTTTATAAAATACAAAATGCTGGGGATTTTTTTTAAAAAAAGAAAAACCGATACATGCATATGTAATCAAGTTGTCACATGATTATTTATGAGGCAGGTTACTTGGATCCTTTTTGAGACAGGGTCTCACTCTGTTACTCAGGCTGGAGTGCAGTGACATCATCATGGCTCACTACAGGCTTGACCTCCTGGACTCGAGCAATCCTCCCACCTCAGCCTCACAAGTAGCTCAAACTATAGGTGTATCTCACCATGCCTGGCTAATTTTCCAAAAAATTTTGTGCAGATGGGGTCTCACTATGTTGTTTAGGCTGGTCTTGAACTCCTGGGCTCAAGCAATCCTTCCACCTAAGCCTGCCAAAGCTGAGATTACAGGGGTAAGCCACTGTGCCCGGTCCCTGGAGTCTTTCTGCCTAAATAATGAGCAAGAAAAATAAGGGTAGCAGGGTACAGCAATCTCCGAAATACATAGAAAGTGATGGTGATGGTAGACATTTACTACCTTAAATTATGTGCTGTAATAGTTTAACATCAAAACATTCACTATAAAACACAGGAAACAAAATATTTGTACATTTTATTGAAATGCTTTGTATGTTTTAAATTTTGACAGGACAGTTTGGAATAAGATAATACAACTGATTGTAGAAGGATACACACCAAACTATATTTAGAGGTTTTGTCTGGGGAATGAGATTGAGGAAAAGGGCTTTTTATCTTTCATTTTCTACATTTCTATATATCATTACTTTTGTTAAACTGATCATACATTACCTTTGTCATTAGGAAAGACTGTAAGCAATTCAACAACTGTACAAATATTCTATAGCCTTACTCTAATCCCTATTGGAGCTGACCTACTGAAGAGTAAAGAAGACTCTAAGTGGTTTGAGGGCCTGTGAGAGAACAATCTTGTTGGTTAAGGTTAAAAGTATATACCCAGAATAGACAAGGAGCTAGTCCTACTCAGATGGGATTAAGTTTTCTCACCTATCAAGGTGCTCCAGTGGATTTCTGTATTTGTTCCTTTAAAATCAGGATACTCTGCCTTTGCTCAGGAGGCAACATGGCAATCTGGTCTGCAGTCAGTTGTAGAACCTGCATAATCAAAGCAGCCTGTGCAGAGGAAAAAAAGGTAGTGAGTTTTAATGATGACAGCTAAAAAAACAAAACAAAAAACCCACCACTAGCTTCTGTCCAAAAAGCTACTGTAGTGGGATATGAAGCAAAATGGAAAAAGGAATAACATTTCACACAGAAAACAAACAACAGGCCAAAAA